AAGTGGCCACAGGGCAGCCTGGTGAATGTCTGCTTCTGAGAGCCCATTGCTGGCAGCTGCCTGCTGGCTGGCATCTTGCTGTTTACAGAAAAAAACACCTCACACTCTGATTTGAGGGACATGGGGGAGAAGCCTCTTGTAACTCCCAAAAACCCCTCAGCCAGGATGTGGTTCAGTGCCTGGGGACCACTGGGCACCACCAAGCTCTGCTTTTGCAGCTCTTGCTCCGTCCACTCCACCTGGCTGGCAACAAATAAGTGCTGCCTTCACCTCCTCAGTGGGATGCTCACTTCCTGCATCTTCCCAGAGCCTATTTTCAGCACTGCTTGGCTCCTCACAGTGCTGGCTGCCTGCAGAGCACAGCCCTGTCCCTTGTAGCCCTGCACATCAGGGAGCCACTTTGCTGCACTGGCTTCACTGGCCTCTCCATGGCCCTGCTAGCTCACCCCACTGCCCTGCTGAGCACAGCACATGCAGCAAAGGCTTGGAGCTGGTTATCTTGAGAGTCCGTGCCCGTGGCCACCTGCAGAACTGCCTCCACAGCCACTCCAACCAACCCCTTGGTGGAGACAGGCTGAGATGCAGGCATTCCACACGGGTGCCTCAGTTTCCCCAGAGGGTGGAGAGGATGCGGCTGGTTCCCCTCCTCCCTACGGTGTCAGGATCACTCAGCTCGGACAGGCTCTGCAAACAGGAGCTGTCATGCAGTCTGTGTTCCCTCCACACCCCGGGGCTCCAGATCCCGCCTTGTGCCTCCCAGCACCGCAGCCCGGTAAACATTAATGGCAACAGTAATCCGAGGAGACTTCTCCCAGTGCCCGGTGCTGGGAGAGCCGGCGAGCGGGGACGGGAGGTCCTGCACGGTACTGGCAGCTAAGTGCCCACTGCCTGCAGCCCCCTGTGCTCTCCCTTGAGCTGGGTGCACCAGGCTTGGCTCCATACAGCCAGCCAGCCCTCACTCCTGCTGCCTCCCTACACAAACTCAGTGGGGAGCTCCCAAAATCCTGCACTTGGATTTCTGCTGAGGAGAAGGCAGCACAGACCCGAGCCCCTCGCTTGCTTTGGGGAGCTCAGGCAGAGGGGTCCTACATTCTCCTCCTCTGCTGTGATCCCCTGTGAGCCCTGCAGCCATGGCTTCACAGGATGGCTCCTAGACATCACCCAACTGTAATTAATACAAATAAACGAGACAAGACAGCCAAAGCAGGGCAAATGGAAACTTGAATGACATATTCTCCAGGAATCACTTGTTCTGCACTTTTCTCATTTTTCAGTACAATTGGCTTCCTCACAAATTAATCACAGGTTACCTCAGACCAGAGGCAGCTCTGTGGCTTGGCAGGGTGGCCCCAGGGGTCAAGGCAGAGGCAGCTGAGAGGTCCCAGTCCCAGCCCTGCCTATGCTGTCCTGATTAACAAGCAGCTGCCCTCCTTCTGCCTCAGTTTCCCTCTCCCTGGCAGCTGCTGTAGCTCCCCATCACACAGACATGAGGGTCCATCCTGCCCTCTCCAAGCAGCCTGCTTGCCCCTGCCAAGGAACAGGACTGCCCACGAGCAGAGCCTCTGAGAAAAGCAAGCACAGGGATCCTCGCAGGAGGGCTGAGCCTCCCGGGATCTCTGCTCCAGCCTGCCCTCGGGCAGGCCTCGAACGGCGGCCCCGGGGCAGGCAGCGCCAGGCCAGGCAAAGAGCAGAAGGATCCCGGCTGTTCCCAGCCGCTCCCGGTCATTCCGACGGGGCGGACCTGCAGGGGAG